GAAAAAATGAAATGAAAAAAAAAAAAAAACGAAATGATAATTATTAAGCGCACCTATATCTAAATTGATTGAACGGAATAAGCGATGGCATTTCATTCATTTTCTCTTCAAACATTATTTGTGGTCTTTTTGACCATTCTTGACCATTATCTAATAATGGTAAAATCATATTTTTAGATGCTCGAGCTCGTAACCTAAAACAACCATATTGTCCACAACCATATGATGGTGGACAATTGCAAATCACTGATTGTGCCACTGGTATTGGATGACAGTATGACAATCCACTACAAATTCCATTTGCATAACACTGGAACATATTGATAAACTTTTGATAATTTATTTTAATAATATCTTTTAAGAATACAAACGATAAAATTTATAACTTTTAAATTTATTGTATTAAATTTGAAAAAAGAAAAAAAAACATAAGCAAGAATTAAAATATGTAATGTTTCATTAAAATAATTTCATCATTTCATTTTTTTTTCAATTTCTTTTTAAAATCTTTAAACTTTTTGTAATTTTTTTTACGTTTTCATTTTAAAAGTTTTTTTCAATTTAGTTTAAAACCATTAATTTATCAAATTAAAATATTCCCACAAAACTTTAAGCTCATAAAAAAAAGAAAAAAAAGTCTTACCGCAAAAATAGTCGATGGTAATGAAAGTGCAAATCCAATTATGAAAGTAAACTTAATGATATTTGTTTGTGTTTCAAATTGGTGCGACATTGTTTGTCAACTGAAAAGGAATAAAAAATAAAAATAGATAAATGGTCTTCAAAATTCAGAAAACATTTGCAATATTTAAAAAAAAAAAGTGTCAACCAATCCTTTTGACATCTAAATCATTTTAATATATAATTATCGAATGTTGTCAATTACACATTTACATTATCATTACTTATTTATTTTTACTATTTTATATTTGCAATATTAACGCAAAAATAAATGAACATTTGACGTAAATTTAAGAAAAAAAATATTAGTACTATAAAGGGAGAAGAAATTGGAAATGTTAATAAATTTTTTAGGGATAACACAATTATCTCTTCGTTCTTTTTTTCCTTCAAAGCAAATAAATGTTTGACGTGAAATACGAATAAGCTTTGACGTAAATATTGCACAAAAAAAAAAAATTTTACATCGGATGATTATCAATGATTATATTAGTCAAAATGAATTTTTATCATACCAAAATACGACATTAATTAATTAATTCTAAATAAATTTAACAAAATTTCATTAAATTCAAAATGGTAATAAATGAGCATTGATATGGGAATTTTTTCAGACTATTGATATATGAATATGATTATCTTAGCCATAATAAAAGGAATGAATAATCATAAATTACATAAAGATCAATTCGTAAAATTGAATTTAATAAATTCTAAATTTCGATCAAGAAGTTCAAAATTTTTAAAACTATTCAGCATACATGGCTAACAAAAACAAAAAATAGGAAGAAAAAATAATTTACTTTTAAAAATTACGCAATATTTGGTGAGAAACAAACAAATTTAGTTTTATTAATATTTTTAGTTAGGTTTTATTTAAAAATTAAAACAAAAACAAAAATAAAAATAAAATTCGTACAAACAACAATTATCAAAAGTAATATTATGGCGATAATAAAAGTAGCAATGAAATTTATTGTGATACTGTAAAGGAATTGTTAATTTGATATTGCTTATAATTAAATACTTGTTTATAAATAGCAACTATTTGAAATAAAAGTAAATCATAATGTATATGCAATAAAATTGCGCTGTATATGGAGTAAAATTTTCATTTTATTAATACAAATAAAAAATAAAATTTAAAAAAAAAACGATTGCAACAGGTTTTAATACGTTTAATTATAATGTAAATATCAACCATA